CGAATCTCACCGCCGGTTCCATACACCATTACACTTTTTTGGACTTGCACTGTCGGAAGTGTATAAACTAGTAACTGAGTCTTGCACCCGAGAGAGTATCTAACCCTTCTTGCTATACCCGACACAAATTTTTTATGCAACCATGCAACTCAGCCAGACCTAGGTCCAACTTTTTTGAGTCCACGCCTCAACCACCAAGAATGGAGTTTGATTGAAAAAACATGCACACACACCCACACTCATGTCAAATGCCCACGAATGTGATGTTATCGGTGCATATGCAATGTAAATGTACAATTGCAATTCTCAACCATGTTTAATATGTCATGAACATATTATGAACAATTCAATATCCAACAACCTTTTCCATGGCAAATTACATCATAAACATATAACCACCATAAACAACCTCAATGTCAATATATCATATGCATATACCAACACCAACTCTCAAGCATGTTATAACACAACCAATGCAAATAACACACTTAATCCAGATAGGCATTTCATCAAACACCTTCAAGGCATAAATGTAAACACATAACATGCCCAGTAAATACATTTCTCAAGAAATCACAAACAAGTAATTTCTAAGTACCCAATTCATGCTAGAATTGATTTTAACTATTCTCAATACCCAAGCATGTTATAACATTTTCAATGAAACCGACATACTACATCAACATAGGCATTTTAACAAACACTTTCAAGGCACCAAATCATGTAACACACAATCATGCCAATTTATCACATTTTTCATGAATTTAAAAAACAAGTAAATTCTAAAAACTCAATTCATGTAAGATTGGTTTAGCGTATTTTTATATTTATTTCCCATAATCTAGTTACACTAGGAGTACATTAAACAAAAGAATTCATCTCAAGTCATGCTACCCATATCAATTGGAAACCTAGGTTGAAAATAAACCTAATTAGGAAAAGAACCCTAACTCTTGAAGCGTAAAACAATGGTAGAAAATTCTGAAACAAGCTCTAATCCTTGCTTCCTCCAAAATCTCATTTTTTGTCTTCATCAAAACCTTCGATTTTTGGTACTTAGGCGTAGTCCTCGTTGTGTAGATGAACTTTGATTCTTGGCTCGAGTTGATTCGACGAACGTAGAGCCGTAGATTGTAGAGAGAAGTTGAAGAATCCTCTCTTTTCCCTCTCTTCCTCTCTATTTTCAAAAATCTTATGAGTATGGGGAGAAAATCTATTTTTCTCCCCTATTTATACCCCTTAGATGTTTGACCCTCATTGCGCCACACGTCCTTTATTGTCGGGTCCGATTTTATCCTAAATCAATTAAATTTTGTTTTGGTTCAAGTTCAAAATATTTTTATTTGAACTAGTTTTAAATTATTTTATAATTTTCAAAACTTAATTCCACGTTTCATTTTTAGGTCATGCGACACTTAATCGCCTCGTAAAATGTAAAAAATTCGACTGTGTCATAATTCAATAAAAGTTGACTGGATAACTAGATTTCGTGAGATGAATCCAACGATGAAGTCCATTTTTTCATTCGAGTTTCAAAAAAATTTGAGTTTCCAACCCGTATCGTAGTGGCTAATTACCGTTTCGCCTTTTTTTATAAAAATTTAAATTTATTTGGGTTTTACAGTATGTATGATTAAGATTAAGTCAGCACACTCCAATGGGTTTAGTTTTCACCCAAACAAGTTTTTTTTTCTCTTGGTTGTGAGGTTGGATAGGAATCACAAGATAGTAGCCTTTGGGGTTAGGGATCCGGGGTTATGGTTGAAGCTCTCTAGAAAGGTTTTAGTCTTTTTTAGCTCTTAAAGGCTTACCCTAGGTGTAGGAAAGGCACTTCCTACTTATAGGCTTGGAATAAGGATAATCTTGGTTAACAAGAAAACTCATATTCGTGAACGACCTCTCGATCGATGGGAGGGCAGTCATAGGGGGATTATCGCTAGAGTGAAAATTACGTTTCAAACATTACTAAGGCAAGCACCGCTTGAGCAACCATGGGTATCTGTGGAGCGATAATGGAGACCACTCGAGCAATCTTATAGAGAGAACCCTGTGTTGCCTTCCATGACCTTTTCATTTTTTTTCCTAAGTTATCAAGAGACCGTTCTAGAGAAGGCTGGTGAGTATAGGGCAGCCCCTACAGGTTTTTTAAGCCTAAAACCATGCAAAAAGTTGTCCTCTTAAGCACTAAAGGGTGTTGCTCAAAGAGGGGTCCGATTGTGACTCAAACTATATTTTTAAAATACAAAATTGGTTTAGAAAAAAATTTATTTGAAAATTCCTAGGAGTCATAATCGAATCACTTCCAATTCTATTTTTCATCCTAATCATTCTAAGTTAAAAATAACTAAGGGGTGTTTAGATGTCTAGGTCATTACCTTTGTCCTAAGCATGAAGGTGGATATGAAGGTTTAATGATGTAACTTTGAAGCTTGATCTCCTCCATTCAATGTAGCTTTCAGATCTTGAACTTGATAGCATCATAACCATGGAAGTGATTGAGATTTTATAATAGACTCCATGAAATTAGTTAATTACAAAACATGATCTAACACTCACTATTAATTAATTAATCTGTGTGAGAAGAGGTAGTTGCAGTTATAATAGGTTTAAAATTGGTAATTGTCCAAGATTAAAGTTTAAGAAACTATTCACACCCTCCCTAGGTAGTGTTGTGCAATCCACGTGTACAATAATGAGGAAAGATCCACATATATTTTCCCCTCGTGGAACAACACTTAGAATGAAAAAAAGAATTCTTGGTCCCAAACTACTACCATATAAATGAGTTTTCAAAAGTCAGTATGGGCACTTGCCCACCTTTGTACAAAGGTGGATCCGCCCCTAACCCCAAACATAATTTCCTTGAGAAAAATGAAGGATATATCAAGGAAATACATATAGGAAAACAAAAGAATCTTTGGGGGATTTAGTCGAGCATATTATATGCCATTCTTTGTGAATGGTCTGAGAGAGAGTGAGAGAGAGAAAGAAAGTGAGGAGTCTTTGGGAGTTTTTGTAGATTGGGGGGTTTTCCCAAAAATGAGTGTGTACAATATGTGTTTTATGTATACGTTTTTGTGCACGATGTGAGTTTTGTGTGTGTGTGTGTGTGTGTGTGTTGTGTATGTGATGTGTGTGTTATGTGTTATGGTGTGTATGTGTGACTTGGGTGTGTGTGTTCGATGGGTGTGTGCTATGATGGAATGTGTGTACTGTTGTGTGTGCTGATGTGGTGTGTGTGTTGCATAGAAGAGTAGAGAAGATGGGAAGAGGGAAATACGGAGGGAATGGGACTAACCTTAGTGGTTAAGAAAATCGTCGGAGTCTTGCCATGGGTGCGAAATGGCAAAGAGAGAGAGAGAGGAACGAGAAATAAACTTGCAAAGAAAGTATACCATATATTTGTTGCAGAATACAAAATGTCATTCTTCAATCAAGCCACCAAACATTTTCTTTCCCTTTAGATTTGGCATTCGCCATTGCATTTTACCTTTTTTTTCCTTTTATAAAATAATCAATGTATATAATGTAAGAAAATGTAAGTTAAGAAAAAAAAAATGATTGGCAAATGGATGTGAGGTAACACTACCTCACACATACGAATACCATTAAATTCATACTCATCGTGAATCACCACACCTACATAATTTTAACAAAGCATTCGAACATATAGATATAAAACTATTTAATAGTAAATAGGGTGATAAGAAGATTAGATGCAAAAGTAAAAAAGGGATGAGTGAGAAGCAGCTTATCCTACAACATTTTCTAGATCGTCCTTCATATATAACAACATTAATGCAAAACAATTCAAATAAATATGTGTTTAAAAAAATCAAAAAGAGATGTTTAGAGCAAAGTAAATAAATAATCAACTTATACTACCAAAAATAGTGACACCATCCATTTTTCGGTGGTTGTGTAGTTGCAACGGCGATGGTTACATAGTCAACTTCATAAATTAAATATAATTATCACCAAGTTCAATGAAATTTCATTTTTTTTATCAAAAAAGTTAACAACTAAAATTAACCTATAAATTTTATAAAATTAATGATCAATGATCATCAACTAAACATCCCAATTCATGCGGCTACCAAAACCCTACAAACTCTATTTCATGAAATTGACACCAAATCTTAATCAAAATAACTCATTCAATCAAAACACTACAAACCATTATGAAAGTAACAACCAATTTCAATCAAAATAACCCTAATATTCAATTTTAAAAAATCTATCATTCAATTGTAAACCCAACTTACAATTTCCCAAAAAATAATCACCAAAACTCTATGTCATAAAATTAACACTCAGTTTGAAAATAATAAAATCCGCATCCCAATTCATATGATTAACAAAACCCTAATATCCAATTTCATAAAAAAAAAAAACAAAAAAAGGAAATTAAAACCCAATTTCAATAAAAAAAAATAACCCTACCATGCAATTTTAAAACCATAACATTCAATCACAAATCCAACTTCCAATTTCACATAAATTAATCAAACAAAACCCTGTGTCACAAAATTAACACTCAATTTGAAAATAATAAAGTCAACATCCCATTTCATATGATTAACAAATCCTTAACATCCAATTTCATCAAAAAAAAATTAAAATTAAAGCCCAATCTCAATTAGAATAAACCTAACATTCAATTTCAAAGCCATAACATTCCAAAATACCACTGAGAACTTTAACATTCAATCCAAATATCACTAACAACGCTAACATTCAATCAACATACCACTAACAACGACAACATTCAATTAAAACCCTGAAATCCTATTTCATGAATAAACAAAATCCAATTTTGAAATGTGACAAGCACGATTTCATGGAAAACCCCAATTTGAAAACCCTAGCATTCAATTTCTTACAAAACTAAACAACCAATTTGAAAATATAACATTCAATTTCCTACAAAACACCCAAATTAACATCCAATTTTAAAAATTCATAGAAAACATAACAAAATGTGTGTGAATGTGACTGTTGTGTGAGTGCTCTGCATCGTTGTGTGTTGTTGTTGTTGTTGTGTGCAGGTGTGTGTGTATTGCTCTATGTGTGTGTGTGTGTGTGTGAAAGAGAGGCGAGATAGAGAGAGTTCAACTAGAGAAAGACAGAGGTATATGGGGTGCTGGTTGATCGAAGGTGGGTTGAGCCATGACAGAGGAGTGAGAGGTGGGACGTAGAAGAAAGGTCACATGGAGAGAGAGAAAGAGAGAGGTGAGTGGACGTTTGACATTGGGTTGGACAGTGTAGAAGGGTTTAAGTAATGAGCATGATTTTTTGTTTGTTGTGATGAATTGTGTAGCATTAGATGAAGTTGGATGAAATTTAGACCGTTTAGATAAAATCTATACTATTATTGTTGTGCTGGAGAATGCAAATTGTGTTTTATCGAATCACTTACTACAGCTTAGATTGGTATTGTTCCTAAATTGAGGACTGGCCCAGTGCCACTTTCCTCTAGGCTGGATAGAGGTCAAAGAAAGAAACGGGCTCCTCCCGCGGCCAGGCATAAATAGAGAGATTCCTCGGATGACTTCCTGCTCGTAATTTAGTCCAAGTTGAACTAAAATATGTATAAATTATAAATCTGATCTGGCAAGTGTCACCGACCGGCTATTAGAATGACTGACTGAATGAGGCCTTTCCTTGTTGTTTCGTCTTCCAGATAACAGCTATTAGAAGAAAAGTCCCTCCAGCTCTTAAAAGACAGACAGAAGAGAAACTTCCGAGAATTGAATCATTAACAGCTATTAAAAGAAAAGTCTCACCAACTGTCAGCGATAGAAGGAGAGAGAGCTGTGAGAACTGAAGATGAAGGATCACCAGTTCGATCATCATTTTCCTGCAAGCCCTATGAAGGGTTCATTTGAAACCACTCGAGATAGTCCCTCTTCTCTATCTGAACCTGTCAGTTCATTTCGAAGCCCATCTTCTTCAGATGGTTCTCCAACCTTCAAAACAAGTATGTCTCTCTCTCTCTCTCTCTCTCTCTCTCTCTCTCTCTCTCTCTCAAATAACACTACTTTCTTTGAAGTGCAGATAAAGGAGATCAGAAAAATTTGGGGAGGAAAGCCGGCAGTTATGTCTACAGAATTCGCGAGCATGGTAAAAATCGCTTAGCTCTTTCAAGGATCAAATCGTTGTGGTGCATAGTATCGATCTTTTTTTTTGGTAATTAAACAAATCTTATTGTTAGGAATTAAGCTCTTGCAAGAAAAAGGGAAAATAGACTTCATTTTCTGAACCTCAGCAATAGTATCGTCCCTTCGAAAAGGAAATATTTTGAAACAATTTCAAAAAATGAAAAAAAAAAATCCAGGAAAAAATAGAAATTTTGTTTTCAAAACTTCTCAAAAACATAGAAATTGCAATATTCAATCACTTATTCATATTGGTTTCCATCAAAACCAAAAAGGGTAACAAAATTTTGATCAATGGGCACTTGATTAGTGATACGCATATAACATTGTTGATTTACATTGTAATCTAATAAAGTTTGTCTGGAGATGAAATTGCAGTGAAACTGGGGCCCAAGTTCTCTGAAACAGTGAAGGGAAAGCTGAACCTGGGGGCGAAAATTATTCAGCAAGGTGGAAGGGAGAATATTTTCAGGAAAATTTTCATTGTGATTGAGGGAGAGAAGCTATTGAAGGCTTCTCAATGCTATTTATCGACAACGGCAGGTCCTGTAGCAGGAATACTCTTTATATCTACTGAAAAGGTTGCCTTCTGCAGTGAAAGATCTATCGCCATTCCTACTACTGGAGGTTTCGTTAGAACTCCTTACAAGGTAAGTCTCTAAAGGAAATATGATTCATATTCTTCAGACCACCTTAAAGTTTCATTTTATCTGTGTTATTTCAGATTGTATGAAAGTGTTTTAGGATAATTCTATAAAGTTTGATGAGGCCTTCAAATCCAGTGGACTATATACCTCCTCAGAACATCATCCATTTGGGCCATTCAATGCTCAATCAAAAACTTCTGGAGCTGAGCTTCTATCGTAGGTCCATATGAACCTCCAATTGTGTGGCGCTTCTGGTTGTTAGTGATCAATAGATGTGGTCTATTAGCTTATTTTGTGGATACAAAAGGGTCATCGCCAATTTTGGCTCTTGTTGGGTGTTAGCAAAACCTAACATTTGACATTATTTGCACAAAAGATGGGTGTCTTTTTAGATTCGAACCCACAACCGAATACTTGTTAGCCCGCTACTTTAGTATGGCCTTATAACTTTATCGAGAATCTGGACGCATCCTTCCCTTCATCCGAATGTGTAAAAGATCTTAGCTACACTTAAAAATGAACTCCACCATTGAGTTAGCAACCAGAATAGAATAGTCTTATAACTTCAGAAATCTGTTCTTCTTTTTCAAAAAGAAATCAAAGATTTTTTTTTATTCTTATGTCATTCTCTTATGTGAATACGAATCCATCATCGTCTTTCTTTGCAAACATTTTTTTTTACGATCACAATGCATCAACCATGGACTCCTTGGCTAATGAGTTGATATATCAATTGGTATTTTAAACCATAAGCCATGATGGACTTGTAGTTAAATCTTGTATAACCCCAGTTTTATACTGCATGGGACATTGACCTGTTGTTGATCTGCTTGGTAATATGTCACTATGTGCAGGTTGTGATTCCAATAAAGAAGATCAAAACAGCTATTGAAAGTGAGAATGTGAACAAGCCAGCAGAGAAGTACATAGAAATAATTACAGAAGACAATTTTGAATTCTGGTTTATGGGTTTTGTACGGTACGAGAAAGCTCTCATGAATCTCCAAAAGGCCATTTCTATTCCCAGATAAGTGTGGAGACCTGGAGTGAACTTCATGTAGTTTAGTTTGTTTTAAGTTTGAGAAAAGGAAGCCCTGAACTTTGTTCAATATTTCTGGTAAATTGATAGTGTGAAATGGTAGTTTAATGACCCAAATTTTGTGTCCATACGTTGGCTCCAATATGAAAAACACTTACTATCTTGTTATTTTATATAATAACTAGCAATTGTCCGTGCCTATAACCAACAAAAAAAAATTGTCAATTAGAAGTCATACGAAAAAGAAGAGTGCTATTAACATTGTAGAATATACATTTTAATATTATCAACAAACACTGTTTCAAAATACGATCACATGTTCTATAGTACAACTACCACCAACAAACCCAAGTATCACGCCTATCCACTGTGCAAGAAAAAATTAATTAAAAGTTCAAAAAATCGACAGCTTTTGAGAGATTTTTTAAAAAATATATATATAAAACCCTTCAAAATTTTACATAATTCTGTCGAATTAATTCAAACATAGACTCCAAAAAAGCAGTATGAGAAATACTTCCAGCCATTTTCCTAAATAGAAAGAATTTTCAAACAAATTGGTATCTGCCCATGAAATCCCTTAAAAAGACAAAACAGTTTACTAAAAACGCATCAATTAGCAATAAAAATTGTAATCAATTAACTGACTTTGGAATTTTTTTTTTAAACTGGTTCGGTAATTATCCATATAGCAAAGCAAGGCATTTGAATGAATTGTATCGCCAAATATGGAGGGCAACTATGACTTTGCCAAGTCCATGAAAAGAATGTTCAATAGCTAATGATCAATGAAGCATCCGAGGGAAGTACATTAAGTTATACACTTAGCAAGAAAAAGATAAAATAAAAGTCACCAATTGATAAAATTAAAATCTAAAATCAAAGCTCACCAACTAAATGAATAATATGCTTGAAATACATAATCTACGGTAGCATTCAAACACTTAACCATGCCACGTACAGATTGGTCCATACACCACATGTTATTTATTTCTCTGTGGACATGGACGGTAAACATAACCATGCTAACCCATTGAAAGTGATATAAAAAAATATTCGAAACAATTGATAAGGCGCAAAATATTATTTGACTCAACAATTATTAATTATGCAATGGTGGAATTGCGCATACAACACTTTAGTTATTCAAATATAGTAGTGTACTTGAGGCATGTCAATATACATATGCACTATATACTTACATCTCTTAACCAAATAAAGCCTTTTTTTTTCCTTTATCTTGGCCCTTAAGGAACAAACACATAATAAAATAAAATTAAATTCTAACGACCGCTCCACGTATAAGCAACCAATCATGATTTTTAATTATAATTCAAATAAAAAGTAATTCAATTATGAGCCTATTATTTGACTTGCTGTTACTACATAGAAAAATAAGATTAAAGAAAATTTAATATACACTGACTATATACACATACATAAAGTAGCAGAGAAATTGCACGCCATTCATTATTCACATTGGTAAAAACTAACACTCAATCAAACTTTAATCAGCAAAAATAAAACAAAATTTCCTTCCATTCGATCACATTCAATATTCAAGAGTTGATGACATTTTTTTAGAACCCAACGCTAATTATCCGAACACAAAAAGTACCATACAATCTAAGAAACAAATGTTCCAAGAAAAACTCATCAAATAGAAATATCCATCCAACCCATACCCATGAGATTCCATATGAATCAATAGAATAATCAAAATAAATCCCATGAAAAAGAAGCCTAAGAAACAGAGTACCTTAACAATTGGACATTTTTTACACTTTGCGGCAGTACAACACACACATGGAGGCACATATAGGGGAAAATTTTTCGACAACAGGGAACATCTTTTACTACAATCAAACAGCCATAGGCAGTTTGGGCACCAATTTTTTTCAAAAAAAAACGCTTATTTTTTACTGAATTTGATCTTTATTCACAAATTAGTGAAAAATAGATTTTATAAGTGTCTACTTTTTGTATTCCCGATTGTATGAGGACTCAGCTCGCCTTACTTTGGCAACTTCCTCAGCGTGAGGATCTACCGGTTCTGGTTAACAAGTTATTGTATGATCTCCAACAGTTGTTGAGATTCAAGAACAAGGTTCGTTGGACGTCGTCGTGGTGTGGTGGGCCATCTTTTGCTTGTTGGTTTTATGTATTTGATTGTGATTGCCATTGAAGGTAGTCTTGAAGGTAGGAAGATTGTAGGGTAAGAATCAAATCGTTGTCACAGACAGCGTCAAACTGATGATGAACAAAAATAGATTTATACACAACCAAATCAGTCGAGTGTGTATTGTGAAGCAATTAATGAAATAATACATAATAAGAAACAAGATTAAGTGGTTGGGTTTGGATAACCTATCCACTAAAGACAATAACGGTGGTTGAATAACTCTATTAATAAAATAGTAAAAGGTAATTGGAGAGAGAGAGAGAGAGAGAGAGAGTATGCTCAAGGTGAGGTGCGTATCCTCTGCCTCTCATGTGTGGAGGGATTTACAATTTATAGGCACAAAGCCATTTTTAAGGTGATGACGTAAGGGTCAAGGTGCTACTTTATCGAGTAGGATAACTACAATTAAGGATAAATACTATCTTAGATTAATGTTTATCCAAATGATTGCTCTTTCTGGGCTCAGATTGAGGTTATCAGCTAAGTATGATCCATCTTTTGATGATTTGGACTTAACCCATAAACTAAGCTCAAGTCTGATTTGAATCTAGATTCATCAAAGATTATCAAAATTATAAAAAGACTATAGGGTATCAATATAAGTTATCCACGAGTTCTTTACTTTTTTTTGTTCTGTATCTTATTTTGTGTCACTCTGCAAGTGAAGATTTGTTGTATGAAAATCCAAAACAAAATATAATATTGGTTGTGACACCCAATAGCGAAAGAAACTTCATTGCTGAAGGACAAAAGCATGCACCCTTTGTCATTAACCAAACAGAGACGTCCTGCCTTCTGTCATAAAAGAGAGGTGTTAGTGTCTCGTAGTCGACTATTACCTGAACAAAATCTTTGGAAAAACCGAGATGAATAGAACTCTCTAGATGACCACCAATTACATCGACAGCTTCAACCGTTAGAGAATATATCCATATATCAAACTTCAAACACTGGCACTTGCTCACATATAGAGGAGCCATGCAACCAAACGTATCGATATGTACCCATGGAACTTGACCAAGGAAAAGACACAATCCAAGTGCATTGGTATATTCACATAGAACATGAATCTTGTACATCAGAATGTATAAAAACAATGTACCCCGATATCTGAATCCAAAATCTCAAGAAACTATAGCTCTTATATCATGCATGACGGATTATCCGTTTCCCCAAAAAAAAGTAAACAGTTAGAGAATTAGCCTACTACATCTACATGTATCAAGCTTCCAACCAGGCCACACATAAAACAAATAGCGTCTGATGCTTTGGTATCTCTAGAAAAAATTTATCCTCATCAAGTCAGTAATGCTACCAATGATCTCAGTGCTATCGAAATGCTACAAGTATATTTACCCTCACGACTTTAGTCAATTACATATAAATTTAGTAGGAACTGTCGACTGTTACATGGATTGGTTGAAACATATTGGTTGGAATAATCATTCATGGGTTCTCATGACTACAAAAGGTTAGAAAAACAATAACAATTAAACCCTAAAAAATCTGCTGCTCTGGCTGTTACAGGATTTCAGTTACAGTACCATTTCGTATGTTTTGTTCTTGTCCAACAACAATATTATTTGGAAATGAGATTGAGGATATACTCGGAGTCTAGTTTAAAAAATTTCCCTCAAAATCCAGAATTTGATTGCAGAAAAAATACCAACTGTTAAGAAGGATCAGAGGGGAAGAAGAAAAATAACGTTACATCAGAAAGCCCAATACATCCAGATTTTGAATAATCCCTAGCAAGAAATACAAATACCAAGGTCTAAACACACACAAAGTGCTTCACAATGCTTATACAAGCCTTCTTGGGTCAGCAGACTTCTTAGCAAGATTCTGAAGTTCAAGCTGCATATGGTTGACATCACCAAGACAAATTAAAGGTAAGAACGCTAAACTGCAGGACAACATCAAGGGAAGAAACAACAAAGAAAGAGACAATACATGTTAAAGTATTCTAGCATATTAGTTTTACAGTTAATTTAGTCGCATGCTCTATTTTATATTGCCCTTGCTATATAAGGGTCTCTATTGTGTATCTTAGGTTAGTTCTGATTGCACAAACTAATTGTGTGCCGTAATAACATTCTCTTTTCTTTCTACTCTCCTCTGCTTTTGATCTAAGTTAACATGATATCATCACATGATACGATCCCTAAAAACAACTAATCACAAAAGAATCTAGCAGAAAAGTTTTCAAAGAAAAAACTAGGGCTGATGTCATCAACTCATAAGATGACATCATGAAACTAGGGCTAATGTCATCAACTCATGTGATGATGTCATCAATCTACAACCGTAGAAGCCTCCACCTTGATCGATTCTTCATGAGTTTATCAATGGTATGATTCATTTTTAATTTCAAGGCCATCTAGTAAGTTTGTTGACTTTTTGAATGTTTTTTGAAGATGCAAGAATCTGGGTTTTTCTCCAAAATTGTTGCTCTAGATCTGGTTGAATGGGTGTGATTTGGCATCATTGAAAATCCCTTAATTGGTTCGAAGACTTTGGAGTGGAGTTGGATTATTCTTTGAGCACACAGGCCTCGACTCACTGTGTTCAGCTCTCAGCACCTTCTGCTTTTGGTCTTCTGCCCTTCAACTACTCAGGGCTTCTTCTTGCTTTGTTTGCTGCTACTCTTTGGTCTGTTAGGTCCCGTTTGGTAACGTTTATGCTTTTCGTTTTTTGTTTTTATTTTGATATTTAGAGAAAACAAGAAAAAAAAACTCGTTTGATAACCGTTTTTATTTTATTTTTTTCTGTCATCGTTTTGTAAACGAGGGGCAATTTTTAAAAACGAGAAAAAGACATTTTTCGTTTTTTGATTCTGTTTTTCATTTTTTAGAAAATTAAAAACTGTAAACGTTACCAAACGAGCCCTTAGTTGTTGGTTTGCTGGTTTTGGATTCGTTTTTGTGTGGCTGGTTGAGAGATTGTGGGTGACTAACTTCAATCGCTTTTAGTTCAGGTGTGCTAGGGCTATTGTTTTCCTTTTCTT